TATCCTCAGTTGAATAGATCCGGATTCCGGCGTTTACTGGCTCTTCAGAAGACGTGCATTAATTTGTTAGGTTTTCTCAGACTCAGGAAATTATCGACTAAGAAAGTTTGACCGAAGATCACATCAAAGGCTGCGAAACTTTAAGAAAAGAAGAGCACGAACACCCACAGAAAAATTTTAAATCCTTCCGCATCTGTTAAACTCATTCGGATGTTGGCCGTTACCCATTGAATTTCTAACGTGAGGACATGGGCAGCGTAGATCGTATTACCCATTGAATTTCTAACGTGAGGACATCGGCAGCGTAAATCGTGTTGATGTTCGTGAATATGTTCGACATGTCGGGCAATTCGGTTGGGCCCTCATAATACAACAACGATGTCACCTCGGTATGCAACAGTATGTAACACAATCTCACAAGCAACAATGGCTCTAACTGAAATATCTAGTCTTCTGCGTCAAAACATGAACTTGCTCGAATTCAACCAAAGTATTGCATCTCGGCATAACTAAGAGTGTGAAGTAATTCGTGAAATCAGTCCATTTCCAATTTAATCTGGTGTTAGCGAGAAAGCCAATTGAATCTCAGTTGAATCTCTCATTTTTGTTACTCTTTGAATGCATATGCCGCACAAAGGTTGTCTCAAGTTTTAACCGGTACGATCTCGAGAAAGCCAACTGAATCTCAGCTGAATCTCTCATTTTTGTTACTCTTTGAATGCATATGCCGCACAAAGGTTGTCTCAAGTTTTAACCGGTACGATCTTCCCAGGTCTCTTGTAAAGACACACTACTTCCAAGGTAATGAAAAATGTGGAGGATCAGGTGCAGTACATTTAGTCGGAGAATATCATAGAAGAGATGCAGCTGGGATTCAGTTAATACCAATTTAATTTACACATGAGTGCATTTCTCCCATTACATAGTCTGGTGTCTAGGTGACGTTACCTGATGAACTCCAAAATGGAGTGCCGAAGAGTTTCCGGCAGTTTATGTTTTCAGAACCCTTGGGTGGCTTGTACGTTCCGTCCATTGTTGCAAACTGAAAGGTCGCCGGTGAGACTCAAGGGTTCAAAATGGGAGAGACACTCAAACATAGCCACATGTCCGTATGTTTCATCGTGGTCATTTAAGGCGTGTGACGCACACAAACGTTGCTTAATCCCGAAAGAGCATAATATACTGATAATACGCACACAACCAGTTGATTCTCACTGGGAACTGGGAACGTCGACATGGTAGAAAAACTCACGCCAAATGAGGCCAATGTGTTGCGCCTAGGGGCAACATTCAACTAATCTGGTCCATGTTCATCTCTCAACCATACGGGTAAAAGAAAGAGGACAATAAAAACTAACTGCGTCAAAAAAGTCAACAAGCAATTACCAGAGTGACCACTTTGTTCAGCAGACCTTCTTACGTGATAAAGGTACGTTTTTTGGAACAAACTATCACATTTCTGTTACACAAAAGGAAGAAAAAGATCAAACATCACGTACCTGAATATCCTCCAAATCCCACTCAATACTTCGAAGAAGTTGCCGCAAGTTATCGGAAAGTTCCTGCAGGTTTTTAGGCAAACCTGCATTCAACCAGTCTTGGTAAAGTGTGCGCGCTGACTCAAGGTTTTTTATAACCTCATCCTGAACAGTGTAATAGGGATCCGTATAATCGGTAGACATTTGGACGAAAAAGCAGCTGAAGAAACGTGAATTATTCCTTTTGGTAGCCCAGTATAGTGATCCAGACGATGCCGCTCTAAAAAAAACCAAGCAATTTATGTCAGAATTTATGTCGTCACTGTTACACCTACTCCAGAAGGCTAATTCGCAACAGTTGAACTAGTAAATAAAAAGACAATAATCAGACAAAAATGATGAGTTTCTTGACCTATCTGGAAAGTCGATTCAGGAAAACAAAGTCGCCTAGTGGGACAAAGTCGAACACTTTTCGAGAGACAGCGAGTCTTTTTCAACTGCATCTGTATCCAGAACAGCTGCTGTTAATTGTAAAATAGAAAGGGATGATTCTTGGTGGGGGAGATTCACGGAAAGAGAAAACTGTGAGACAGCCGAAAAACGAACAAAAGTAAGAGGCTAAGTCAGCGTTTTGTGTTCCTTGGAAGACAGTTACGTCAAAAAAGACAGCGAGTCATGAGGGTCCCGATTCAATATGAAGATGGGTAGGCGGTAACCACAAACTAAGCCAAGGGTGGGGAGGGGTTGCGATGACGTCATACCACGGATGATTGAACACGTTAATCTGAAGAGCCGTTGTACCGAAGAGAGTATGAACCCATGAGTTATGAAAGACGTAAAAAAATTAAATCGAATGAGGTTTACACCATTGTCTGAGGATCACCACTTAGTGGAATTTTCAGTCGTATCAGGCAATGTTTCAAGCCGCAAGCCCTCAATGACCTGCAGATTCTGGTCCCACATTCTCTCACCCTCCGATTCCACTTCATCAGTTACCTTCCATACTGCTTCCGTCACTCAAATCCCACCAAAGGATACCTGAGTATGTAGAACACGTCCTAGCCAACGCGCCTGTCGTCCAGTAAGAAACTCCAAGGAGTCTCGCAGTTGTGTAGAACGTGTAGCCGTAACTCAGCTTCTACCAAACGCGACACAACACCTTAAAACACGATAGTCGAATGCCAAAAGCCATTGGATGTCATCACTCGATTAGCCAGCTCTAACACTAAAAAAGAAGAGTCGCTCGAATTGACATGCCATACATCAGTCCTTTAGTTGTCAGATTAACCTCGCGTCCAGTCCCCAAATATTGCAAGTCGAAAGAAGCCACTCTGGCCTTTTCTGTCTGAGCTGCCACTCAAAAGCGATTAGTCCGTCAAGCACGTGGAACAAACAGCCAACTCAATCGACACATTTACAATGGTGGGGCCAATCAACAATAATCGTTCGTCAGTGGCACCCTTTCCCTGCAAACCTGCCGTAAAACTCAAAATGAGCACGACGCCTGAGTTGCTGTTAAGATAATAATGAAAAAATCGTTCAGCCGTAACACCCTTTCGGTGCCTAGTTGTCAGGCCACCCGAAGGGAGCATGAGGGCTGGGGTACTACCATTTTGCCCAAGCCTAGACAGGAGAAGTCGAAACGCAGAGGTCGGGTTCAAACCACGGATCTTCCAGTCTGTACATTCGCGCCCTAACCACTGAGCTATCTCGCTCTTAAGATGCTCAGTTGGGATTGGTTTGAAGGGTATCATTAACCATGAACTTCAACAAAGACGAGATGATGGGACATACTCGGGACATCCTCACAGATAAGGGGAATCATGAAGATAATTTATAGACCTACCCAGCCAGAGGCCTCCAATGCCTTGAGGGTGCTTAAGAATTTTACAGTTACATCAATTTCAATAAGCACCGTTTGGATAACTCAATCGGGAGCAAGGAATATGACGGTGAAGCATCGGTGTTGAACACTGATGTCACGCTGTCGATTATGATGAATTGTCGGTTATATGTACGTACAGCCAGATCGAAGAGGACGCTTTGTCGATCCAGCTTGCAGTAGCTGTGGCTGCCTGGAAATGCAACTGAACGATAGTAAACCTGGAGCCACCTACGGCGTCGGAGGTTTATGGCCGCACATGTTCTCTCCAGTGCCATCGAGCAACTGGTCTGGACAGCCTCCCATCTGAGATCTTCAAGGATGAAGAAGCCAGTGCGTCTGGTCCATTCACCTGCATCTTGGAAAATGAAGTCGTCCCAGACAACTCAGTGGAATCAGTGACAGTACCTATTTTCAAAAGCGAGACTTGTAGTGAGTGCGGCACGCACAGAGGAATCAGCTTGACCTTCGTCGTAACAAGACTCGACGTCAATTGTCCTTCGTCGCCTCATGGTGCCCTATAAAGCATTGACTCGCAAGCACCAAGCGAGATTCCAGTCTGGTAGGGGCAGCATCGACCAAATCTTCACTGTCACGCGTTAGAACGAAACCATACGTACAAACAGCCCACAAATTTAGTTCTCCTGGAGGTGGGGATGACTCAGCGGTTAAGGCACAAACGCACTGACCTGGATATCGTGATTGGAGCCGTCTCTGCATCTCAACTGCTCCCGTCTAGGCTTGACCAACTCGGCAGTACATTGGCCCACGTGCTCCCTTCGGGTGGCACGGCAGCTGTGCCGAAAGGGTGTTACAGTTGAATTATTTATTAGTCTCCGAATCCCAAGGCGTATTGGGCTCAGTGAACGGACCTGTTGTTCATAAAACAACCGCTCAGTAAGGAATGCCGCGGAAGTTAATGAACATGATCATTTTTGCACTGCTCACTTGACAGCCCACGATCGGTTTCGCCCTTTTTGGGGCTCATCAGGTAGGTGCAGTCCCCGAGTTTCCGCCCAACTTATGTTCTACTTGAAACCAAATTGCACGAAATTAGCGAAGTACACACATTTGCAAACTAATTTGGCTTTGCGAGAGACTCACCTGGAACCCAGCTGAATCTCTCGTTTGTGATGTTTCCATCTTGAATATCGTAACAACTGAAGCATGAGGCGGCCTGGTACAGCACATTCAGTCGCATGGAGACATCGCATGTGTCTTTGGATGCTTTTCGCACCCAAAGTGCATGCGGTCACTGAACACGCTACTTGCATTCCAAGAAGAGGCACCCGAGGTGGTGGAACGTTCTACGTATCTTGGAAGTTGTATTAGTTCCGCAGTGTGACAGATAAGGTCAGTGCATGAATCTCTATGACCGGGTGGTATCTGCTAATTTGGGACGTTTATGCGACATCTATGCGTCCCTTAATTTTAAGGGACATGTATATCAGGCTACAGGATGGGTTGTTTTGCTGTATGACTGAAACGTGGCCACTGGTAGCAGCGGAAATGAAGATGTTTCAAGTTTTCGACAACCGATGTCTCAGAACCATAGGCCGTTCCGGACCGTGGCGGCGAATCCGCAATGAGATAATTAGAACACAAGTGCTCGGTTATGCAAAAAGGGGGCAAAATGGTCCAAGTGGTAAGAGCGCGTGGTTCGAACCCGACCTTTACCTCTCGACTTCCCCTGTCTAGGTTGGGCAACCCGGCGAATCCGCAATGAGATAATTAGAACACAAGTGCTCGGTTATGCAAAAAGGGGGCAAAATGGTCCAAGTGGTAAGAGCGCGTGGTTCGAACCCGACCTTTACCTCTCGACTTCCCCTGTCTAGGCTTGGGCAACCTGGCAGTATCACAACCCTCGTGCTTCCTTCGGGTGGCACGGCAGTTAGGCACCGAAAAGGTGCTACAGCTGAACAGTTGAACAGTTATGCAAAGGAGACTTCAATCAAGGAATGTGACCAGCGTCAAAAGCTGTGGTGGTCTGGTTGTATATAACGCACACCACACCAGTTGCGAGACGGAGTGCTGTTTCTCGTGTCCAATACAGAGTGGCCTGACCAGAGACGTCGTCAACCTTTGACCTAACATGCGGGCATGAAATCGAGCATGAAAAGTCTACGTGCTGTCGCCGTGACTTTCATTCCAGGATGGGGTTTGAGTGATTCTCAGTGGACATGGTTATAGACGCTAAAGGAAGCAGCTACTAATCGATGTCAATGACATGTCTGTTGTCAGCTTTCATACAGTGTTTGGGTGAATATCTGGAGGTGGTGTTGCGCTAGCACTAAGTCCCAACCGAATCCACTTTTATTTTTTTTTACAATAAAACCCTCAATTAAGTCATGGTTTTAAGTCAGCAAAGCATCAGTGTTTAACGTCGATGATGATGCCGATCATGCACCCGCACGAGTTGGCATACAACGCCTTAAGGGGGGTCCAGAAGCGGTGGGGACATCTTTGCTCCATACACACTGCTATAGTGCCTGACGATCTACAAAGTCAGGCAGATACCAAGTCAAAGAGGGCCACTATCGTTGGTTGCTAAAAGCAGTGTTGCTGTTCCAGGATTTGTCACAGGGTGATAATGCGACCGAAGCATCCTCTTGCAGGACGAAACCTAGCTTGGTATGGATCTCTCCCTCCTTGTGTTCAGTCAGCCTTCGAAGCATGAGACCACATGATAAAACTCCGATGCCATAGTTACCAGGCTAACACCACGGTGGTTTTCGTATATCGTTTGCGTGCTCTTTTTGCAAATAGGGATGACTGCCAATGTGCCTAATTCTGAAGCACTTTCTCTACACCCCATATCGCATCAATGGGTTTTGACAGATTAACCACCAGGGATTCTCCGCCATCACTGAGGATTGCTGGATACAAACCATTCGATCCTGGTGCCTCCTCACGTTTCAATACGGATAGTTCGTACTTTATTCCTCCTTCTGCCGGGCGATTAGGGTTTACACCCCAATCACCTCTCCCTCTCGGAGCTGTGTTGCGGGAGTCTAGCTAAACTGTTCTTCAAAGGTTTTGGTCTGTCTTTCCAGTCAGCATCTTTGACAGCGAATTAATGAGTTGCCTTCTCACTTAACGTTTTACTCACCGTAGCTCCTGAGCTTTCAATGTCTTCCGAAACTCTCGGTTCCCCCTTGGGTTTTCCACTATTTAGCGTTTGAGAGATGTCATGGTGTGTATTTCGACGATATCCATTGGTCACTTGACCGTATCGGAGAAGTCGGACAGAAAGCACTGAACGCCGCTAGCACAGCTTCTTTTGCATCTGCATCCCGTTCTCCCTAATAGCAGTGTTGATTCGCTGTACAGAGTATTTGAGCTAACTCAGACCTACACTGTTGAGATATGGTAGTTCTCCGAACATGGTAGATTGGTGTGCTTCTTTCTGAATTGCAAAGATCCTTCAGGCGTACTCGCACCATGGCGTGAGCGGAATCAAGTTGTATGCCCTCAGAAGGAACAGCAGTCATGAATTTTGGCCCTCCACCGGTGGTTGATGGCCACGTGATCCAACTCAGCCCGTTAGTTAAATTTGTTTAGCTAAA